CAGCAGAGATCAGAACTAAAAGGGAAATTTAACTTCATTCAAGTAAAAACTGAGGAATATTAGCCTGTTAACTGAGAGACGCAGCAGCAGTAACACAGAGCCCCAGTTACCTCTGTCAGCTGAGATGCGCACGATGCAGCTAGTCTAAATATGTGATCTGTTTGGTCATCCTGCCTGATGTTACAAGTTTTAGCAAGTGTTGAAAGCCCAATCACGGCGTATAATCACTGCCTCGGGAATTTCAAAAATCAGGCAATCAGAGAAAAAACTAGTTTACCAGATATCTACTCCCTTAATCAGTATCTAATTATACATGAATTGTGTTTTGGAAATATTATACTTTAACGTTTCATTTCAGAATTGCAGTCTAATTACACAGAATTTGGATAAGCTTATATTAAATACTATGGACAAAGCAGTGGTAAATGTACTCTAATAAAATTAGTTTAATGTTTAGAGGGCAAATACCAGTTATTTTCTGTCTTGCTGTTGTTGTTTAGTCGCTAAGTCGTGTCAGGCTTGCTTGCAAGGTCGGGGACTGTAGCCCACCAGTATCCTCTGTCCATGGAATTCTCTAGGCAAAAGTACTGGAGTGGGTTACCATTTCCTTCTCCAGGGGATCTTCCTGACCCAGAGATTGAACCCACATCTTCTGCATTAGCAGGCAGATTCTTTACCAGTGAGCCACCAGGGAATCTTGGAGAGATCACTTACCCTCAAGAGCCATTCATAATTATTTCAATATTAAAGCAAACTCATAAAATAAAATTTAAAACTTCCAAAAACTTAACTAAATATGTCATTGATTCAACTGCACTTGTAAAAATCACAAAATGTTTAAGAAATTATTTCCCTAAATAAATAGATTATAGTACAAAGTGTTTTAGTTGCTATTTAGTAAAAAGCTACCAAAATTCAGACAGCTGGAATTTGTGTTCGGCTTCTCTTATAACCTTGAAATGTAACCAAAATTTTAGTGGTGATAAAAATAGTGCATGTAAATTAATCTTCATCTGGATTTTTCTAAACACTCCTAGTGAGCCAATAGTCGTGAAAATGTTAAAAAGCAGAAGAAGGAAAGACATGAACGAGAGATGAACAACAATGTGAATAATTCACAAATTGACATTTGATTCTTGACTTCTTGAGAATTCGCCATATATACCACCACAAAAGATTTTTTTTAAATGAGAAAAACCAGGAACAAAAATCATGGCCCAAAATATCTTGGCAGTAACCTGTTTGCTATTTTCTGTCCTGAAGAGTTTAGGCAAATTTTCAATTAAAATGGATTGCAGTTAAATTATTTGGGGCAGAAATGTGCCTTAGCCTTTGATTAAGTTGCTCATTCCGGCATTTTAAAATGCTTAATCTATTCCTTAAAATGACATCAAGCTGTGCTACTGCCATTTATGGAGGCTCACATGCGCTCAGTGCATTTGAAGATTTGGCTCTCGTTTCTCTTTTTTCATTACTCCTGGAAAATAGGATTGATTCAGTTTTATGCACATGCAGAATGCCATGGACATGGTGCCAAGTATGCCCCATTCAGGAAAAAACAAAACTCAAAAGGACGTTTCTTTTGACGCAGCAGCCAAAATTATGCAGATGTAGAAATTAAAAATCCTGAGACTACTTGCCAGAAATTGTTCGGGGAAAATATACTTACGTTGTTTTCCCTTTCCCACTCACAAATAACAGATTTATAAATACCAAAAAGTGCATGCATGTTTAATTTTGTCCAACTCTTTGCAACCCCACGGACTGTGACCTGCCAGGCTCCATTGTCCATGAGATTTTCCAGGCAAGAGTGCTGGCATGGGTTGCCATTTCCTACTCCAAGGGATCTTCCAGACTCAGGGATTAAACCCACATTTCTTGCATCTCCTGCATTGGTAGGTGGGTTCTTTACCACTAATGCCACCTGGGAAGCCCAAATACCAAAACAGCCTTCATCAAAATAGTATAATGGGCAGAGTTGTTCTTTGATGATGCCTTTCTCTTCCACTTGTGTCCAGACATCCTATCCCGGGACCCTTCTCCATGCCCAGTTATTTGGAGCCTGTCTGCCTTTTCTGAGCATACTCCATTGGTTCATTTATGCAGGACTCTCCTTATGGTTCCAGAGTCTAAGGCTGTCATGGTCATCTCTCCCAGCTCTTTCAAATCCTGTATTTCTGTTATCCCATGTCACGTTGAATCTAGTAAGAGACGCAAGCTTGCCTTCAGTGATCGCTAAGTTACTAGATATAGAATAATTTTATTAAGGCTTTTTAAATCTACCAGCTGAAATGTGTGTCTGTTGGTAGTGGCCGACCACTGACACTCAGCTTTTAGAAGCTCTTGGGTGGTGTCACTATGAGAGAGGAAAGGTGAGTGTTTATGGCACACCCACTTTCTGTGGGCACGGTGGGAACAGCCCCTGATGGGTGGAGCATGGTGGCTTAACTCAACAAGCCTCTGGGGATAAAGTCTCTAATTCGAGCAAGCAAGAGAACTCTTTATAAACCATTCAGTCATTCATGTAATCATTTACTCAATGCATCTTATTGTGCAGGCCCTGAATATACAGAAGAGAGGAATATAGACTTCACATATCCCCCTGTGGTTTATGCTGTTTGAACTAATGCATTTTATGAACTCAATTCTGGCAGAAAATATATTTAGGAGAACCCTGGATAAAGGCATGATCTCTCAGTGATTCCTTTCTGAAAGGATAGTCTTAAAATAGAAGTTAAATTACCTACCTCTCATAACTAGACACATTCAATTGTTTAATTCATTAACCAACAAAATATCTGAAAGTATATCCGTAACATACTGGTATTCTTGGAGCATACTGGAGCCATTGCATTCTGTGGTTTTGGAGTCACGGATATTGAAGACCCCTGTGGCAATAGCACCCCACTCCAGTACTCTTGCCTGGAAAATCCCATGGGCGGAGGAGCCTGGTAGGCTGCAGTCCATGAGGTCACTAACAGTTGGACACGACTGAGCGACTTCACTTTCACTTTTCACTGGCATGTGCTGGAGAAGGAAATGGCAACCCACTCCAGTGTTCTTGCCTGGAGAATCCCAGGGATGGGGGAGCCTGGTGGGCTGCCGTCTTTGGGGTCACACAGAGTCAGACACGACTGAAGCGACTTAGCAGCAGCAGTGACCCGCAAACTTCATATGCTTCTGTCTGTCACCAGGCGAACCACTGGGATGCTCACTGCTAGAGGAGATGTAAGACCACATCTCTTAGAGCTTTACTCTCTGAATAGCCACACTATGAAGCTCGTAGGATGGTGGTCAGGCCCACCTTACAAACGAGTAAAGTGAAATGAAGATTCCACGTGGCTGCAGATTCAGGCCAGCTCTTCTCTTGCAGTACTTGCTCCGGGCAGGGCAGTTCCATTCTCAGGTGCCTGGAAGTTCCTTCTATGTCCCTTCTTGCTTCCTTCACACACAGCCTTCCCGACTCAGTGTAGAACAGATGTCATGGCTTGACTACATTTTGTCACCTGCAGAGGCGACAGGCATTCTTCCAGAGCTCGTGTTCCCTCTGAATCCTGTCTCCATCGTATGCAAACGTTCCAGAGCTAAACATGCGGTCAAAAGTCATTAAATATGTACTTTGTGTGAGATTTCCGAGAACTGATCATTTTTCCCCAACAGAAAGGATTCTGTGGAATGAGTGATTAAATTAATGAAACACCATACAGTGTGTTTACTAGGTTGGTATGTGGTAATGGCAGAAACAATAAACACAAAGAGCGTTGCTTTGTTGTTCCGAGGAATTTATTGTCCCTGACTATGATCTGAGAACAGATGGCAGAGGCTGTCAGCTGGGTTGTGAGCCCCGGCAAGCAGGAAGTAGGTGATGATAAACGGTTGGTAATTTCCCTTAGTGGAGCAACCCTACTGCAAGCTCTGCCGGAAAGAATAGATGCTAGTCTGAAACCTCATCTGTGGAATCTTGTCCAATACTTCATTTTTTTTTTCTTTAAGGAAAGAAAACACAGAGGTCTTGTTCTTTGCCTTTGTGAGATCTTCAGAAAGCTCAATAATTTTTTTGCTCCTGAAAGAGAATTATCAGCTGTATCTAAAAGATGAAACCTCATATTTCTTGCAAGATGAGTTGGCTTTTTTCTTCTCCTCTATAAGCAATTGGGTTTATCGAGTAGTTCTTGTTTGTCCACCATCACCACGCCAGCTGGGAGTGGATTGTCCCAGGTTTATTTGTATCGATCTCCAGGTGAAGGAATGGAAGAGATTCCTTAGCTGATTTGTTTAGGCAACTGACTATAAAAAGCCCATTTTGAAAGGAGACTCATGCCTCGTATAATAGAAAAGTCAAGTCTCTAAAATCGTAATAGATCTGAGCTGCAGTTTTATCATCTTCTGTCTGTGTGTCTATAGTCAGTATCTTTACCTTCCTGGGACTCTGAGAATCATCTGCAAAGTAAACTCACTCCCAAAGCTACTGTGAGAATTAATTATTTTTAATTATGTAAGGAAGCTGGCACTGTATCAGAGCTAATAGGCATTTAGAAAATTATCTATTCACTTATTTGTTGTTTTTCAGTCACTAAGTCGTGTCCAGTGTATTGATTGATTTATGGCTGCACTGGGTCTTGGCTGCCGCGCGTGGGCTTTCTCTGGTTGCGGTGAACGGGGGTCCCTCGGCTCTCTAGTTGGTGCAGGGCCTTCTGGTTGCAGTGGCGTCTCGTGGAGGAGCAGCAGCTCTAGGACGCAGACTTCAGTAGGTGTGGCACCACAGTCGTGGCCTACGGGCTTAGTTGCACCCTGACGTGTGGAATCTTCCCGGGCCAGGGATCAAACCCGTTTCCTCTGCTTTGGCACTCGGATTCCTATCCACTGTATCACCAGGGAAGGCCCCCACTAGGCATTTAAGAAAAAGAAGCTGGTATTAAGTAGCAGTGATAGCTGTAGCAATAATATACTAATAGTAATAATACAATATAATGGAAGAAAAAGGCAGGGAAACAGGAGCCATGAGAGACGCGCCCAGCCTGAGGAGGTCAGATGGAGCCGTGAAGGACCCAGAGACATTCCATCTGAGCAGCTCCGGGAATCCTGGGGAGACCTCCCTGCTGCCAGAAACCACCCCCTCCATCAGTCACAGGGGAAAAGTGCAGGCTGAAAACACGTGGCAGCTCCATTAATGCCTGTTTGGTTTAATGTTATTTACCTCAGTGATAAAGAATGAGAACCATTTTGATGCTTGACATTCCCTCAAGAAGAAATAATTTAAAAGCCTCTTCTAACTGCTGTTCTTAGTTGACACATTGATCACTGCTTCTTTGAGGTTTAATTTATGATGCTAAACTGCAGGTATGAACCGATAAATGAATGCATAAAAAATGAGTTCTTCAAATTCAAGATTCAGAAAAAAAATAGCTAGTCTCCTTAAATAGTCATGTATTAAAATGCTCTCTGTGATTCTACTTGCTGAGTACCGTACTCATAAGTGGTAGCTTTCGACTCTCTGGCATTCCAAATCACAGCTCCTATTAAATTTCTGAAATAACTCTACTGTTCAGTTGCTCAGTCTTTGTGACCCCATGGACTGCAGCACAACATGACCTCGCTGTCCTTCACCATCTGCCAGAGTTTGTGCAAACTCATGTCCACTGAGTTGGTGATGCCATCCAACCATTTCATCCTGTCTCCCCTTCTCCTCCTGCCCTCAATCTTTCCCAGCATCAGGGTGTTTTCCAGTGAGTCGGCTCTTCTCATCAGATGGCCAAAGGATTGGAGCCTCAGCTTCAGCATCAGTCCTTCCAATGAATATTCAGGGCTGATTTCCTTTAGGATGGACTGGTTTGGTCTCCAGAAATAACTCTGATGTGTGTCTAATTTTCTTATGTATGGACTCATACTTACCTTGTGTTTATGTAACTGACTCCCTCATCCCTGTGTCATTCATTCAAGAAAATACATGTATTCCTTTTTGAAGCAGGAGAAGAAAAGTTGTTCACTGGAGATCCCAGAGGTTATTGCATATCTTGAAACAATTTTTGGGGGTAAATTAAAACCAAATAGGTTCCATCTGTTCAGGTACCAGGGCTTTTGACCTGTATGGTCTTTAGGCCGCATTGTTCTACTTCACATGATAGGTAATGGAAAATTAAAGGAACGTTTTGGTGGTTAGGCTTGGAGTAGAGTAAACCTCACTTCTTCAGTGGGAGTCAGTGGAGGAGATGATGAGGGGAAGAAAGACACAAGAGGGGCAAGGAAGGGGCCTCATTAGCAAGCAGGTGCTGGGAAAGGCCACAGTGCATGTCGGCGGACAGTAAGGCTTCGGGACACAGCGCTTTGAAATCTGATGAAAGCCAGGTCCCTGCAGCCCTGTTAAGTGTATATATGCACCAGATTGTGCGTACAATTCCCAGAAGTTTGAGTACTTCCTGAGGTGTCCATCATTAATGTCAGATTAAAAACCCTGAGGCACTTGAGGTGAGAGAATGTCCAAACTTATACATACTAACTTGTGCTTTTTAAACAGAAGGCTGAAACAATTTGTTCCCAAGGGTGCACGTCTTAAAATTAGACTTAAAGTCCCAATGGTTATTTTAATGGATGGCTTTTGTGTTTATTTTACCACTGGCCACACAACCGGTAGAAAATATTTATTACATGGGGACGGAGTTCACGTTTGCTTAACAAAACTATGCTTCATAATTTACAGTTGAGGGGTATCGCCCTTGGCTTGGTGGGTAAAGAATCCACCTGCTGTGCAGGAGACACAGAAAACCCAGGTTTGCTCCCCGAGTGGGGAAGCTCCTCGGGAGGAGGAAATGGCAACCCACTCCAGCATTCTTGCCTGAAAAGCCCATGGACAGAGGGGCCTGCCAGGCCAGTTGTTACACAGTCCATGGGGTCTCAAAGAGTTGGACACAACTGCAGTGACTGAGCACTCACGCACGCGGTTTGTAACTGATCTGAAGTAAAATGTCATAGGAAAAACATTTCACTTATTTCATGATATAAAAAATTCTAATATTATTTGAAAATATACTCACCTCGTAAAATATATATATAAATTCAAAAGATTTAAGTATATCACAAAAGTGATTTCTGTAAATATATACATTATAAATATGACATTTATAAATTATATAAGTTTATATTGCATTTTGTCAATATTATATTAGTATATGTATAAATGTTTAGTCAAATTCAGAGTCTTTATTTCCTTCTATATGAAAAGACTAGATGACTCAGAAAAAGAGGCAGATGAAAGAGGGAAGAAATAACAATGAAGTAATGAAGAAATTTTCCTGGAAATGATGAAAATAATCTTAGCCCTAGGTGCCTTATTGGGAAATTTAAAATCATTAACGATGAGAGGAAGATTAGAAAATCTTCCAGACACAGGGAGGAAATGACGTTCAAAGAATCAGGAATCGGAAAGGCTTTGGATTTCTCAAGAGCAAAACCAAAATGAGGAAACAGTGCCTGAATGTACAGACTTGATTATATGCTTACAGATGAAAAAATTTGAATCTGTCTAGCTTGCACATATTCTTTTTTTTTTCCTTTTTAGGGAAGGAAATCATCATAAAATTATTGTTCTTAGAATTATTTGATCTTAAATACGAACATTTTCCATGTTTGGCATACATACACTTGTTTATATGTAAAAGAAAATATATATATATATATATGTATGTTTGTGTGCGTGTGTAACTTCATATTGACTTTAAATCTTTCCCTAAATGAAAATTTAAGAAAAGCAACAATTTATAATTACTGGTTAAAGTTGAAAGAATTTTCTATAAATTCTGACCCAATAACCAGTTATTCTTCCTGCTCCAAATTCAACTCAAACTTCATGCTGGGCCTTTGACTTCACTTACTTTTCTGTTGGTCCAGAATAGCTTGGTAAACCTTCTCTTTTTGGCCTTAATGGTTTCCGTCCTTGAGACCAGGTCCGGTTGCTACCTGTCTGTGGAACCTTCCGTGCTTCTCTGAAAAGGGAGGGGACTTATTCATCAGTGCTCCTGTAACACTTGTATTTCCAACGTCATCATCAGTTTTTTTGTCTCTACAGAATGTGGGTGGTTCCACATTAGTCTTAATGTATCCTCAGAGAAGAATCCATGTCTCCTCTGGGCTAGGATCCCTGGTTTCTTTGTTAGTACTTATTTATGATTTATGACTGTTAAAAAAAAAAATCTGTTTCTTAGGCTTTCCTGTCATTACATTAACATTAATTTCTAGACAATATCTAGCCAATAAGATTATCTTTCCCATCATGTGTTTACAATTTTGTGTGTTTTTATACCATGTCCTGTGTTTTGTGCTAAATAAAACCTGTAGCATAGGAGATTTCAGTGACAATGTAGAAGGAAATCAAAAAATTGCTGGAAGAAAGCCTATAAATCTATAGCTGATTAGTCACATGAGAAGTAAGTGCCCAAAGAAATTTGATGAGGGGATGATCACCATGAGATGGAATTGTTTAGGAATAAGAACAGTTACCATTATCATGAATTTATGTGTGATGATGGGTAAGAACGGAGTCACAGAAGTAGGAAACTACTTAATGCGCATATTTTTGGGGGCTCCAAAATCACTGCAGATGGTGACTGCAGCCATGAAATTAAAAGATTCTTGCTCCTTGGAAGAAAAGCTGTGACCAACCTAGACAGCATATTAAAAAGCAGAGACATTACTTCGCCAACAAAGGTCCTGTTCGTCAAGACTATGGTTTTTCCAGTAGTCATGTATGGATGTGAGAGTTGGACCATAAAGAAAGCTGAGCACAGAAGAATGGATGCTTTTGAACTGTGGTGTTGGAGAAGACTCTTGAGAGTCCCTTGGACTGCAAGGAGATTCAACCAGTCCATCTTAAAGGAGATCAGTCCTGGGTGTTCATTGGAAGGACTGATGCTGAAGCTGAAATTCCAGTATTTTGGCCACCTGATGCGGAGAGCTGACTCATTGGAAAAGACCCTGATGCTGGGAAAGATTGAGAGCAGGAGGAGAAGGGGACGGCAGAGGATGAGATGGTTGGATGGCATCAAGTCGTGAATTTGAGTAAGCTCCAGGAGTTGGTGATGGATAGGGAAGCCTGGCGAGCTACACAGTCGAAAAGAGTCAGACACAACTGAGCAAGTGAACTGAACTGATGAGGGTCAGGACTGGTGTCTGAGTAAAAAGATGCAATTTGCTTGTGAAAGAAGAGTCAGTAGCACTTAGGTACAAGATTCCATTTATGAAGGAAAAAAGAAAAGATTCCATCTGTTAACTAGACATTTATTGCAATATGTTTTCATTTTTGTCTAATGAAAGCTTTTTCAAGGAGAATTGGAACGATTTTTGTTGTTGTTGTTCATAGTCCTCTTACCTCTCTCATTACATAATTTTCTTGCCCTATGAGTTTTTAGTGAAATTAGCAAGACTGTTGATTTTTAAGGCTCACTGATACCCTATGATAGCTTTGCTTTCAACAAAAAAGATACTAAATTGAACTTAAGAGGCATATATAATAATTAAGGTAAGGGCTAAGTAGGAGACTCAAAAGTCTTTAATCAGAAACAAGTTAAAGTGCAGCAAGTTAAAGGGCTTTGCTCTGTTGATTCTTCTCCCTACTTTGGGCCCTTAACGGGGTCACATTTTTAGATGAAAAATACCACATATTTGCCTTCAAGTAATACCAAGAAGAAACACTAATACAGTAATTATCTGGGCTTCCCTGGTGGCTCGCTGGTAAAGCATCTGCCTGCAATGCCGGAGACCTGTGTTCGATCCCTGGGTTGGGAAGATCCCCTGAAGAAGGAAATGGCAGCCCACTCCAGTATTCTTGTCTGGAAAATTCCATGGATGGAGGAGCCTGGTAGGCTACAATCCATGGGGTCACAAAGAGTCGGACATGACTGAGCAACTTCACTTTCACCCGGCCTTTGACAAACGCTGTCCTGAATCAGCGCCTTAGCCTAATGGAAATGCCTCCGAGGAACAAACATTGCAAACAAAACAGAGGTAACTCTATTTTTTCTTGGGAAAAAAAAA